AAGCACCAACCTTGGGAAAAAATTGGTCAAAGACATAAATCGAAAGTCAAAATCAATGGTCCAAGTTGACCCAACTCGCCGAGTTGTCCTTCAAATCGTCGAGTTTCTCCATCAATCTGCACAGATCGGGAAAAACCAAGTCAACTCGCCGAGTTCCTCTATCAATCTGAAAATGTCGAGGAAAACCGAGCAAACTCGCCGAGTTTATCGTACAAACTCGCCGAGTTCTCCAGAAACCCACCTCTTAACACATTAAGCACTTAATCCATGAGGACATGACTCCAAAACATAGATCAGACTTCCTTGAGCTGGAAAACCACGTAAAGTTGCCAACTTTACGTTCATGCATGTCTAAATGAAGCTCTTAAGCTTGGAATGGACTTAATAGTTGACTTAAAGCATGCATGACACCAAAATCCTCATAAAGTTTGCACCTTTAAGCTCAAGGGTACCAAAACCAACTCAGATCTGAAGGAACAACCCCTAAAATGACTTTACTCCATCGTCATCCCCAAAAAGAGGCCAAAACACAACAAAACCCAAAATAAGGAGATCCAATCACCCATAAGTCAAGGTATGAACTTGATACCTTAAAGTGACTGCAAAAAATGGGGTGATTCTGGATCCAAGACTTCATTCTCCAAGCTAGAAACTTCAAGATCTTCTAATTCCTTCTCAATGCACAAAAGAACACCAAACTTCCTTCCAAGGCTCCAAAAACTTGATAATGGAGGCTACAACTCGATTTATGGTTTGGACAACAATGGAGGCTGATAAGGAGGCCAGAAAAAAGGACTTAGGGACTTTAAATAGGGTGCAAGACCCTAAAAATTAGGGTTTCCTTCCCAGCTGCCAACTCGTCGAGTTGAGGCTCCCAAACTCGTCGAGTTGGTTCATTAAACCCTCGCGATCCATCCATCTTCAACACGACGAGTTGGTCCCTCCAACTCGTCGAGTTGACCTAGAAATAGGATTATTCTCAACAATTTCTCTTCAAGATTTCAGATGTTACAACTCTCCCCCCACATAAATTATATTTCGTCCTCGAAATCGTTCCTTACTAACACTCATAACCAAAATAAACACTTGAGAAACGCACACGAAAATTTTCCACATAAACAACCTTCCCAAAACAATCAATCCCAAATAGAAACTGCCAACCTGAAGAAGAACAACTCATAAGTCTATGCAAAGACCCAACCTTATATATCCGAACTTGGGTATCGAATTGGTCTGAATCCTTGACAGACCTCCCAACGAAACCATTTGGAGAAAAGTTGATCTTTACTTTGAGGTAGAGTAGCTTCGCGCTTGAATCTTTCGGCGATTCTACTCCAAAAAGTAGTCGCAATAATGTTAATGTTGATTGCTTCTTCTGTTAAATCAACCCACGAACGGGCCAATATGTTCTCTTCATCAGTTGACCAAACACAAGCCATTTTTTAGCGATGAGGTTACAAAGAAGATGAAAATAAAAAAAAGTTAAGAGAATTGAATTAAAAAGATTTGAACATGGTGAAGAATGAAGAAGGATGATGGTATTTATAGTTGGGGATTGATGGTTTAAAATTTAAAATTTTGAAAAAAAACGGTATTTTTTTTTTAAAAAAATGGTATTTTTTGAAAGCGGAAAATTTATTAAATGGTAATAGAAAAAAAAATGGTAAATCCTTCTCTCTCGTTGACAGAAATTCACCGAGCTCCATTGTCGAATCGAGGTCGCCAAGGACCCGACGTGGTGTTCAGTGTTCACCAAGTGGTGTCGAGGAGTGCCGACCCCCCACTCCGTCGAGCGTAAAATTATTAAGGGTATTCATACAAACATTTATTTATCGTGTAGCTTCTGAGTTGATAAAAAAATATCAAATCATAAAAGATATAGTGAATTGTTAAAAAGGTGTGTTTAATAAAATAATTATTAAAAATTAATAAAAAGATAACGATGATGAATGAATAAAAACAGCCGATTATTAAATATTATACTAATTTATGTATAAATATAAATTTTACCAAATTAAGATTCTTTCTTTATATTTAATATAATTCTATTGAATCAAACAAGATGACTTTAAGATAATATTAGGTATGTCCTAGAATGAATGTATCAAGGGTTTCTTTGAACTATTACAAGATGTAGTTGGATTAATATTATAATTTTTTTTACTCATCTTAACCTAATTACTTTAAGCCAATTTCGTGTAAAGCATTATATGATTGTTTTTTATTAAAAAAAACACCTCCAAACTAAACAATAAACGAATAAGCGATCGGAGGTTCTAATTAGATCACATGACAAATCATAAGTTGCATTTATTTTATAAACTATATTAAATTTCAAAAGCCATATAGTTTGTAATCTTAAAGGTAACCCCAATCATAACAAAAGAAAACAGGAAAATAGCAACTTTTTAATCCCAAATTCCCCAATCACACTAAATTATAAAATAACATGTATTTTTTTTTTAATATTATACTTTTTACTTTTGTAATATGTAATTAGTTTTTTTTCTTAATTTCTAAAATATTTTATGTAATGACGATCTATTAAAATAAAAGTGTTAAAGCTTGTTAGTACAATATAAATCTAAACTATATTCAATATCATTCTTATTTTAAAGTTGTGGGATAAACTAGTTGATTTGTGTGAAAATATATTTTATGGATAATAACTTATAAGGGTAAGAATCATTCTTTTTGTTTAAATTTAGTTACTTTCTTTTTATATATTATTTACCATTAAACTTGTTTTGTATTTAAAAAATACAATTATGACCGTCTATTATAAGTATAGCTGGTTTGAGGTTTGAGACGACTTTGACATCTCTAACATTATGTTACTTCCATAAATCCATAATAGTCATGAGATAAACAACATCCTAGAACTTTTGCAAAGAGTAGTGATCCGTATTTGATTTCATTTTTCCCAAGCTTGAAACTCAAAAAATAATAATAATAATAATAACTACAGATAACAACATGTCAATATTCCACCAATACACACTTTGATTGTCAACATGCCTCCTAATTTTTACCTTCACCTTTTGAACTCTCTTATGCCATTCCATGTATTCAACACATTAAAATAATAAACTACAAGCTTAGTGAGATACAAGGTTTGACTAAAAATGGCGTAGCTTAACAATTTAAACTTTATGAACTAGGACAATTTACGACACGTTGTCAATGCTTACAAAAGCTATACTTGCTTTACCCTTAAGAAGTTTGTGGTGTTGAACGACCTACATTGCCATTAAAAGTGAAAGAGGGGGTATGGTTGTAGGAAGTAAAGAAGAATCCAACCCTCCCACGTCTGACTCTAATCTCTACATTGTAATTGTTAAAGAAAAGGAAGTTGGTATCCTTTATAAAAAGAAGAGAAGTCACCCTTTTTTGAGTTTGTGCTTTTTACATTGTAGAACTTTAGTTTCCGAAATCATTGATGCTGTTTTTCCTTTTACTTTTTACATTTTTATTTATCTTTACATAGAAAATATATCTAGTACTTTTATTTATTTATTTAAAAGGGCACCTCACAACTTCCTCTTGCTCGACACTCATCCTACCGGACCCATGACCACAACCTCTCCCATCGAAACTCATTGTTGGGTCCTCTAGACCTATTTGAAGGATTAATGTGAGAATTCCATGTTGGGTCAAGTTTTTGTCAACGAGTAACATTAAGAAAACCTACTTGACAAGAAATCCATGCTCAATTGTTGGTGATTTTAGTTTCATCAATATTTTAGTGTAGTCAAGATTATATATGAGACAAACTGAGTACCTTTTGGTTATATTAGAGACAGAAGTTGTGAAGTACATACATGGATAACTTAACAGGACTCGGAAAGTTTGGGAGCATTGCCCCCGGAGTCTTGGGGCAACACCTCTAACAAGGTCGAAGGGGTAAAGCCCTGGGCGGGGGTCCCTAAGATTCACGCCCTATTAGGGAGGAGGGAAGTCCATGGTCAATTGTTGGTGATTTTAGTTTCATCAATATTTTAGTGCAGTCAAGATTATATACGAGACAAGTCGAGTACCTTTTGGTTATATTAGAGACAGAAGGTGTGAATGCATACACGAATAACTTAACAGGGCTCGGGAAGTCTGGGGGCATTGCCCCCGGAGTCTAAGGGCAACACCTCTAACAAGGTCCAAGGGGTAAAGCCCTTGACGGGGTCCCTGAGATTCACGCCCCATTAGGGAGGATGGAGTCCTTCCCTTCCAACCCTACTGCCAAATCAGCGTCATATCAGTTTTCCTCTATCTTTTCTTTTTCAACCCTCTCAACCCACAACACATGGAAACCCTATATTCCCAACCCACTTAACTCATTTAATTTTTAATTTTAAAATAAACATATATATATATATATATATATATATATGTGTGTGTGTGTGTGTGTGTGTGTGTGTGTGGAGAGAGAGTATGAAAAAAAAACTCAAATAAAATAAATGCAATGGAATACATTATTAATGTGTTTACCAACCTGCTCAACAATCAATATTTCATTAACCCTCTCAATTCATCGTCAACGGTATCACATCTCTTTGGTACCGTTGGTACCTATCCTCAAACCACATATGATACCCTTCTCTTTTAAAAGGACGTCGTTTTTCCTACTAATTATCGACTTATACATATAAAAATGAACAAATTACTGAAATAGTCCCTGTGGTTTGGCTAAAATTGCGCGTTTGGTCCCTATGTTTTGTTTTGCACTCGGACCATCCCCACGTTTTCTTTTTATTACCCGCCTGGTCACTGGGTCCGTTAGTCGTCAATTCCAAACGTTAAGTCCCTCACGTGCTTCGCACATGAGGGGTATTTTCCTCATTTTATACATAGCGCCTAAATGCAATGCCAATCGTTTCTTCATTCCGATCATTTTCCGATCACCTCCCTCTCACACACACTCTCTCTCTCTCACTTAATCTGTAACTCATCAAAATCGAGTAGAAACCCTAACTCCTCAAAATTTTGCAAGAATCATCGAAGCAACAATGGTGGGTTGGAGGATTAGAGCAAACATGGAAGAAATAGACGTTGAAAACCATTACGGTAACCGCTTAATTTCAAAAGTTAAATTTATCACTTACAAATTTCAAGCTAATAAGTTGAAGCTTTCTCTTTTACAGCTGGTCATCCAACTATCTTCTCCATCAGATTATTCTATGGTGGAGAGTTTACGAAGTTTCCTGGAAGGAGGTACGTCAAGGGAAAAAGAGAAAGATACGTTGATCTATTGGACATTGATGAGTTTTGTGTGCACGATATTGATGAGATGATGGAGACCCTAGGCTGTGTTGAGGAGGGTAAGTTGCTTTATTACCACTTCAAAAGACCCTTTTCAGATTTGGACTTTGGGTTGTTTGCATTGGCTAGTGACAGTGACATTAACCATTTGGGTACATACGTGGGTCAACATAAACTGATTGAAGTTTATGTTGAACATGGTAAAACAATGTTGCATACATATACAATGTCATCTACCCCTAGTAAAGTTAGGATAGAAGAAATCGTTGATCAACCTTCGTGTAGTAGAAGGCTTTTTTTGAAATGGAAGGAAACTGAAACAGGGGATTGTATTGGATCAAGTAAACCAAATGTTGTGCCAACAAAAGAAACTGAAAGTGCCCAAATTGATGCCCAATGTGAAACACAAGGTATATGTGATGAATTTGATGAATTTCTAAATGAAGAAACTGGAGGGATTACTCATGAAAGTGACAATAGAGATGATGCTGATGATAGTGGTGATAGTGGTGATAGTGATGATAGTGAGTTCTTAGTAGACTTAGATAACCTCCTAGATGAACATGAGATAGACATGAATGAGTTTTTGTTAAATATTGATGAAGATATAGAGTGGGTGGGTGATCTTGGAGGGTCAAATGTCAAGGAAACAGAAACAAGGGGAATTGATGATATTGAGGTTGTAAACAATGAGGTATTCTTATATGAGTCATCATCTGATGAAGGTGGGAGCAACAAGAGAAGAAAGTCAATTAAGGCAATCCGAAGGGCAATGGAAAACAGTGAAGCAAGAGTTAGTGATTCATTCTATGTGTACCAAAAATTCACCTCATCTGAAGAATTGAAAAATGCAATAAGACAACATGCTGTGGAGACAAGGAGGGAACGAGACTTCATAAAAAATGACAAAAACAGAGTGAGAGCTATTTGTAAAGGTACTATCCCAGACCTTGGTCAACAGAAGCATTGAATCAAGTAAGGGGCGATTATGCAGGGCAATATACTACACTACGAGACTATGTTCAAGAACTTCGCACTCGAAACCCAGGGACAACAGTTAAGATAGAGGTCGAAAGTGAGCCAAACCCATCTTCTGAGACTAGAACTTTCAAACGGATCTACATCTGTCTAGGGCCATTAAAGAAAGGTTTTCTAGCTGGTAAAAGAGATTATCTTGGTATGGATGGGACTTTTATGAAAGGGCCTTATCCTGGAATGATACTCACAGCAGTGGTAAGATGTAAACACATATCTTGTGTCATTTTATTCCATTTTATTTAAATTACTAACTCCTTCACTATGTTTAGGGTCTTGATGGAAATAACTGTACATATCCTTTAGCATATGCTGTCGTGGAGGCTGAGAATATAAACTCATGGACTTGGTTCTTAAGGTGCTTAGGTGATGACATTGATTTGCAAGCTAATTCCAACTTTACCTTTATATCTGACAGACAGACGGTAAGTAATTTCAATGGACTTGGTTCTTATTGTACAATGTATACATTACATCTAATGTTGTTTACTTTTTGTACAGGGCTTGTTGCAAGCAATTGGTACATTGTATCTATGTGCAGAACACAGGTTTTGTCTGCGACACATTCATGAAAACATGAAGAAAATGTGGAGGGGAAAGGTGTTCCAAGACATGTTGTGGAACTGTACAAGTACAACAACAATACAAGAATTCAACCATGCTATGGAAGAGTTAAGAAAGCTAAACAATGACTGCTACGAATGGGTCAAAGCTATTCCACCTTAACATTGGTCTAGGGCACACTTCACAGGTTTGTTTTATTTTGTTGGGTTAATTGTTACCAAATGATTCACTTTCTTACATAATTTTTTATTTATATTGTAGGGAGGGCTCATTGTGATGGGCTTCTGAATAACTTGTGTGAGACCATAAATAATCAAATTAAGAAAGCACGCGACCAACCAATTATCACATGCCTTGAGTACATTAGAGAGTACCTTATGTTAAGGATTGTTAGTGTCCAAAAGGTAATTGATAAGGCTGTTGGACCATTAACTCCAACTGCAACAAGTGTGCTTGAAAAAAACAAATCTGATGCAGCTCAATGTGTGGGTAAGTTCTGTGGGAATGGAAAATATCAGGTGAGTGGTCCATGGATGGACCAATGTGTGGTAGACATGGCTCAGCACACATGTTCTTGTAGAAAATGGGAACTCACTGGTATACCCTGTAAACATGCCCTTGTTGCTATATGGGACATGCGAAAATATAAGCAGAATGTTGGCGTACCTGAAGAATGGGTTCATGCTACTTACTGGTTAAAAACTTGGAAGGAAATGTATTCTTTCAAGATTGAACCAATTAATGGAAGAAGAATGTGGGAAAAGTTTCCATGTCCAACCACTTTGCTTCCTCTTAATCATCATGTCCCCATTGGAAGACCAAGGAAGAAAAGAAGGAAATCAGCTGTTGAATTAGAAGATATGGTGAAGGGTGGTAGGGCATCAAGGAAGGACAAGAGTGTGACATGTTCAAAATGCAAAAAGCTTGGTCATAATAAAAGAAGCTGCAAAGGTCAAAGTGCATGTGATACTAGTTCAAGCAAGAAAGGGAAAGCTGGGAATAAAGCTAAAAGTGTAGGTGATGGTAGTTCAATCAAGAAAGGGAAGGATGGGAAGAAAGGTCAAAGTGCAGGTGATGGTAGTTCAAGCAAGAAAGGGAATGTTGGGAAGAAAGCTCAAAGTGTAGGTGGTGGTAGGCAAAGTGGAACTCAAAGTGCATGTAATGGAATTTCAAGCAGGACAAGGAAGGCTGGGAAGAAAGGGAAGAGTATTGCTTAAGTTATGATTGTGTTTTTATATTTTGTGTCTGTGTTATGAACCAATTATGGTGTTATGATCTTTTGTGTTTTTTATATTTGTCATTATGTTTTGTGTCTGTGTTATGAACAATTATGGTATGACTTTTGGGACCTGTTGTCTATATATGGTATGACTTTTAATGTATCTCTATTTTCAATTATGGTATGAACAATTAGTGCTATAATCTGTTGCTATGTTTTTGTTTTAATTCAATTTCATTTTATCCAATTCTATTCAATTATTCAATTCATTCCATTCTAATTCAATACCATTCAATTCTATTCAATCATTCAATTTAATTCCATTCCAATAGAAAACCAGTTAATTGCATTCCATTACAAACCACTCAATTTCATTCCATTATAAAACAGTTAATTGCATTCCATTACAAACCACTCAATTCCATTCCATTACAAACCACTCAATTCCATTCCATTATAAAACAGTCAATTCAATTACATTCCATTACAAACCACTAAATTCCATCCCACTAGAAAACTGCCTTGATGAAACAAAAGATAAGTACATTGATAGCATAAATTAAAGCTTGTAAATTAAAATTGACACAAAAAAAACCCAACTGAACACTAATAACAGCCTCAAGGCCCTATTCTCATGTTGAAGCTCATCCAATGACTTCTGCAAATCAGGGGAGATACTTTTTTCAGTTTTTTCACCATTAAAGTTGTCCTCATCAACCCAATCTATGAAACCACATTTTGCTCCCTGCATTTTGAGTAATTTGGTGTGTGTTAAAGGTATGTGATATATAGATATACTTAAGAAGAAATTGTCCTTACCTTTCCAGTACAACAATAGAAAAGTCTTCCAGGGTTTTTCTTGGTAGTCGATCTTCGTATCACACCAACTTCACCACACTTGCAGGTTTTTTCCATTAGGGTTGATCGACACTTCAAAGAAGACGAAATGAAGGAGAAGAAGAAAGGGCGTATTCGAAAAATAGAGAGAATCGGGGTTTAGGGGTGTTCTAATAGATTTTTTATATAAAATGACGAAAATACCCCTCATGTGCGAAGCACGTGAGGGACTTAACGTTTGGAATTGACGACTAACGGACCCAGGGACCAGGTGGGTAATAAAAAGAAAACGTGGGGATGGTCCGAGTGCAAAACAAAACATAGGGACCAAACGCGCAACTTTAGCCAAACCACAGGGACTATTTCAGTAATTGGTTCTATAAAAAAAGACTTGAACGTTACAAAAGATATAGAACATACGAGAAAACTTCTTCTTCATCTCTCTACATACTTACTCTCAAACACTATCAATTGCAAGGTATTTATGTCTTTTAGAATTTGGAATATGCATGTAGTCCAATCGATTTATTCTTGAATTATCACAAATCGGATTTCATGATACCTCAAGCAACATGGTCGAAATCACAAATTTTGAAAGACGTCTTCATACACAATCTTGAATTATTCAAATGTTATTATTAATATCCGAAACCTAAATCTAACAATCACCTCCTAAATGTTTTGTACACAATGATGCTTTCTTTTAAGTGTTTTCCTCCCTAATATGAACTCTAGACTCCGGGTTATCTTTGATACATAAAATACAATTTGATCGACATACAAAGATAATATATAGCCGAACATACTCGTAAGGTCAAAAGATCAAAAGAAAGTCAAAGTTATTAGGAAGCTAAATTAGTGGTCAAAATTATTGACCGCGTCAAGTAAATCCAGCCCCACTACGTCTTACTCTGCCTGCCTCACGCCTTCGGCCTCCCTGCGTGTGACCCCACTTTTTCATTTCCTATAAAACAACGCTCCTTCCCCCATACCTTTCAATTCATTCAACCACTCATTCATTTCTCTAACGCTAACTCCTACAACTTTTGTTTTTTTGTAGAGTTTAATCTTCTTCTTTTAGATCAATGGGTGGCGTTGTTGTTCTTCATCCTCAAGACTCTTTCAACAATCATCATGATAATTTGTATTCTACTCATCAAACCATTAAAATGGTTCCTACTCATATGAAACACAATCACCCTTCTCCCACCCCTAATTTCACTGTATCCGATCGCCGGAGACAAACACCACCGAAGAAAATAGTAAGGAAGAAAGGAAGAACCATGGAGGTAGTGGCTTCTGAGAAATCGGTTAAAACAACGGAATTCTTTGCCGGATTTGCGTTTGTTGATTCACCTCCTCCGAGCTCTGTTCCTTTACCGGGTTTTTTCATGAAGAACTTCGTGGAGGCGAGGAACGATGATCCCACCACCGGTCTCCGGCGGATCCTTGGTTTGAGCCTCTCTTAGTTTCCGATTCAGGTGTTGAATACGTAACTTTAAATTCAGTTCAATTGCTCCGATTAATTTGAAGGGGAAATTGGAATTGGGTAAGTAAGCAAATGGGTTTTAGTCGATTACATAATTAGTTTCAACATAATGATTATGAGGTCTTGTTCAGATTGATAGAATTGGGAAATTGCTGATAAAGGTATTTGATCTTGAAGGATTAGGATTGGGTTTCATGTTGTAAAGGATTTTGCTATGTAATTAATCCTAATAGTGGTTTTAATGTATTTTGGTTTATTGAATAGTTGGAAGTCTAATAATTAGTTTTCCAATCATTTTACGTGTTTTTAATAAAAATAATAATAAATTACGACACTTGTCGATAATTTTAAAGTATTGATGTGTTTTTGAGATTTTCTAATACGAAATATGATTGTTTTTAATGGGAGCTTTTTTTAAAAGAGAAAGTAGAGGGATCTTTTGTCGTTTCTTGGGTTTGTTGGTTCCACGAATCCTTTTGTAAACACGTAAAATGATTGGTAAACTAATTATTTGACTTTCAAATATTCAATATAAACAAACATAAAATCACTACTAGTATTTTTTTCGCAAGTGACATTTTGAACAGCTAATTTTTTTTTTTTTTTTTGAATGGCGAATACATTAAAGATTAGCAACAAACTAACAAAGAAGCAACGTTATAAATTACAAACATAGAAAAGAGATACACCGATCACACCAAAAAATATAACTAAAAATGAATTTATTTTCAACCCAATTGAATGCGACAATTCAATTGGAACCAACCGATCCAATCATAAATTGACCTATTAGACTGGATATCCAATTACAACTGGATTCGATCATATCAAAATTTCAAAACCCAATTGAATTGGATCATCTTGAAAATCTTAATTGATAATTGAACCGATCTAATCCAATTTTAATCCAATAAATATCCAATATTGTTAGCCAAATCCAATTTTATATTGTTAATTATTCAATAAAAACAATTTGAAGATTTGAAGTTAATGTTACTTTGTTAGTCTTATTTAGCGTAATTATGTACGGCTTATATTTAGGGGAAATCTCCAGAAAGGTCCTATAATTTTAGTCTAATTTATGAAAAAATCTCAAACTAATTTTTGTTTACAAAAAAGCACAAAATACCGGCTAAAACTTCGAAAAAACCATTTTTGCCCGGTTTCAAAGATTTAGTTGGTATTCTGTCATTTTTCGTTAGTTTGCTCAAAATATTAGGATTTTTTTGAAAATGACCCGATAACCTAAATATTGGGATTTTTCTGAAAATTAATATAGAATTAATGGATATTATTATTAATAAATCATTTATAAACATATAAATTTTTTTATTATAAACAAAGGAAATACATTTTAGCTAATTTCTAGGAATAGAATGGTCGACTATGTACTTCTCTATTGTTTGTTGACCACTTCAAAGTCCTTATGTTCTTCCTATGTATCGTTGTGAGTGTCATAGTAAGAAGTAACTTGTTAGGCGTGACCAATACAAGATTTGATAATATTTATTAATACACAATCAATAAGTGTCTACTTGCTATTAGGCATGACGCTATATGATCACATGTTATTAGAAAATATCATTACACAACGATTCTTGAACATATATATATTTTATTATGTTCTTTAACCTAATTACCACCTAACCTCCATACATTACACGGTAACAACCATCAAATTACACACATCTATCGAGAGTGAACAGTAAACTTTGAATGACAATTTAAATAGATAATCACCCTTCACTTGTTTCCATATAAACTATCATTCATGGATCACTTTTCGCATTTGATTGATGTGTGTTAGCTGATGGTTGTTAACATGTGAGATATGGATGTTGAGTGGTAGTTAGGTTAAACAATATAAGATGAACATCAACATTAAAGGAACACTAACTGAGTACATCTCACCATCATATCCACAACAATGCATAGGAGGAACGTAAAGAGTTTGAGTGGTCATCAAGCAATAGATGAGTACTTAGACAACCAATTTATTCCTAGAAATTAGCAACAAATGTATTTCCTTTTTTATAATAAAAATATTTTTTGTGTTTATGAATGATTTGTTAATAATAATATCCATTAATTCCATGGTAATTTATAGAAAAGTCCCAATATTTTGGTTATCAAGTAATTTTTGGAAAAGTCCCAAAATTTTGAGCAAACTAACGAAAAAGGACAGAATACCGGCTAAATCTGCGAAACCGCCCGAAAAGGTTTTTTTTTTCGAAGTTTTAACCGATATTCTGTGTTTTTCTGTAAACAAAATTTAGTTTGGGACTTTTTCATAAATTGACCTAAAATTTTAGGACGTTTTTGGAGATTTCCCTATATTTAGTTATCATAGTTATATTTTATTATTTGGCAGAAATAGATTAGAATCGGTTGAATAATAGATAAACAATGGACTAAACCAATAAAAAATATCCAATGGATAAAACCGATCCAATTTAATATCCAATTGGATCGGCTTGGTTCGGTTTTTTATAGCAATACTGATTTAGATTGGATTGATGACAAAATCTAACATCCAATGGATACTTAGATTGGATTGACTCCATTAAAATCCATTGATTTGAACCGCTAAACAACCCAAAAGAAGACGTCTTTGTTCGTGGTAGATAAAGAAGAAAGAGATTGATAATAGGTTTCAACGAATTTTAATAATATTAATTAGTTAATTATTTCTATATATTGTTTCTCTTATTTATTTTCAAACTTTTCTCAAATTTTGTTTTCATGTTTATTTTTATATGTTGTCTATCATTTTAAACATATTAGTAAATATCTTTAAATAATCAACTTATATTAATTTATACAAGATTTTATATATAATTTTATTTTAACATATTAGAAAATATGTTTAAATAATCAAACTTATATTTAATTTATACAAGTTCGTATATATAATTTTTAATAACGTAATTCTTACAAATTGAATCACATGTCAAAATTTAGGATTTAGGATAACAAGTTAACAATTATGCTTATGCTTAACCCATGAGACTCTAGCTTTCGTCCTTTTCCACTTGGACGTTGTTTGAAATTTCATTTTGATACTTCAAATATTTTTAGACAAAATGATTTATTGACTTATGACGATAGGAAAATAAGTTTTTAAAAAGTGTTTAAATTAGTTTTTGTAGTAGTAATCAATAAGTTTTTTTTAGAAAAGTGTTTGTTTTAACTTAAAGGTATTTAAAGGTAATATTGACTTTACAATTCAAAAAGTCATAAGGAATTTAGAAAATTTACAAATTCTAATTTCTTAATATCTCATCGAAGTTTTAAGGATAAATTGTTTTAAAAGTCGATTTCCTTTGGCCAAATATTTTTTTTGACTAATTCACTTTTCAAAAAGTCAATAATTCAATAAGTTGTTTTGAGATCAAATCCCAAACATCACACTCTCTAACTTTCAACTGTTTCCACTTAGGTGTTGTTTGTTTTTTTGAAGCCAAAATGTCTGCAGTCTGCGAACCACATCTGCAAGCCTCTGCGGCAGAAGAGGTGGACCAAATGTCTACTGTCTGCAATAAGAATATTGTTTGTTTTTAATGTCTACAGATGTTGAAATAAATTGATTTTTCAAACTTAATTTAATGTCATAAACATTAAAAATGCATTTTCAGCCAAAAAAAAAAAAAAAAAAAAAAACTGTGCGGTGGCCTATGTTTTTTTTTTTTTAGGTTAAAATGAGGTCTGTGCCAGAAAGACCTCGCGCAGACATTTTTTGATCTGTGCACTCCAAAAAAACAAAAACAAACACTTTGTCTGCGCGGCGCAGACAAAAGTGGTTGCAAAGAGGCCCCTTAGTTTCCCCGATACAAGGAGTTCCTATTTTTATTTTTCGTATAAGTCAAAACCAATGTTAAGGTCTTTCGGTATACTCTCCACGCCAAGGGCCTAAAGAGCTTCCTCATCAGCAAACAACACAGCCACAAATCACCACATATGGTGTCGAGGTGGTGTGCACGAGAGAAGAAGAGAGAAAGAAGGGAAGAAGAAGACTACAAGAGAGAAAGAAGAAGAACCTTCGTCGTTGTGAAATGTGATGATGATCACAATCCATCTTGACCACGACCAGCACAAGGCACCGAGATGGTATGTGGGTAAAGATACACAGATTATCCCAGTGATACCATTAGTAATAAGCATAATACAAATTCAGGTCTTATGAACAGATAGAAATTCAATCAAAGTTGCTCAAAACTCGAAGTAAATTTGGTTTTAAGTAAATATACAACTGCCAAAGACTGTAACTCTATAATCTCCCCCAAAAATTTACCAATAACCAATTCCCAAGTATCCTAATTATAATATATAATTAACAATTAACAAACGAACAATTTGATAACAAATACCAGATGCCTATTATGGATTCAACAAACTTCTTTTTAAAAAACCAGGCAATGGAACTGAACTCGGGGGAGGTGAATCGGAGAATATACAACCTGCAAAACATTCACTCATCTTCTTCATCTGCATCGACACATTCTGCAAGTCGTGTCCCATTGATGGAGCAATCCTACTATTCTTCTGTTTTCTCCGACCACTCGTCACAACTTTGGAATCTTCTTGATCGGCAATCAAATTCTTTCCTCCGGCGATGGAAGCTACGCCGGTGAAGTCCTCACGACTATTCATATCTTTCAAAATTCTCGACGAGTTGTTCAAAACTTCACCGCGTTTCAGTATCGTAACCTGTCCCATGACAAGGTTTTTAGACGGTTGCTCCGCCACCGCCACCGCCTCCGTTTTCCTGTCATTCTTCTTACGTATTTGTGTTCGTCTCCGGCTGTCTGGAACTGTGAAATTTGGGGTTTGAGAACGGGGATTCATGAAATTAGTCTTGAATTCAATCGTTCGATGAGATCTCATTGATGTAGGCATCGGATAACTCTTGTGTAGGGAACAAATTATCAGGATGATTTCTTGAACAAGCGTGAGGATGACGAATAAAATCTACACCCATGTATCTAGCTCACAAGAGCCTGTGAATATTAAAACGAAAAGGGATGAAACAAACAGTGATTAGTGGAAAAAAGTGAGAGAGAATAAAGTCGGCTGTAAAAAGATGAGGTTACAGTGGGACAGACGATGATTTTATAGTTAAATAGAGAGGCGGTGGCCGCCTAGGACGGTGATCGGTAGGGTAGAGTTATATGTCGGCAATTCCCGGATAATTCTTGGTCAACAAGCAATGTGGAATACACGTATATATTTTCAAGATATATTTTCAAGACTAAATTGTAAAACTGATCCATATAGTTTTGATAAAAGTTGTAGTTTTACTTTAATTTTCAAAATATTAATAAAATACATCCTTATGATTTTTAAACATTTGTATTATTATTGTGTAGTTTATTTTATCTTTTTTAGTTTATTATATTTAAAAAAAATTGAAACAGGTAGTTTAAATAATTTGGACCCATCTCATCGGCCCATACCACTCCCAAGTCCTAGTGTCCCACCCCTATTTTTAATTTTGTCCTTCTTCATTCTTCTTTTGGACCCATTCACTGTCTTAAGCCCGTTGTCACCAGATATTATGTTTATATGCTTAATCTTTTTTTTTTCTAGTCCACTTTGAGAGGACAAGTTATCAAATAAATATTTTAACTACGGTTTATTTATAATGTTAATCTATATATGAGCATTTATGATCATACATATAAAATAATTAGACATTTAATAAATTATATTTATAGAAGATAAGAGTTTTTTTTTTTTAAATAGTTGGGTTAAAAGTTAGTAGTTAGTATTACGGAACTGTTCACGCCAATGTTAGAACTTAAGACCTCTAATCTAAGAGGCAAAACCTCTACCAAGTGAGCTAGTCCCACATTAGCATATAAGATAGGAGTATTAATAACTGATCAAAATAAAAAACAAAATAAAATATTTATTTAGTATTTATTAATCAAAATAAATAAAAGTATTCTTTTAAATAGATAAAAGATTTATTTGTTTAATATTAAAAAAATTAATAATATGTTTGACCAATTAATGTAATTATTTACTGTTTAAATGGGTTGAGAGATTAAAAATATGTGAAAAATTAAATATATTTCTATATTTCTCCTACGCATTATCATATTCTTCTTAAATGGTGATGTGTCTCACAAATATATTAAAATATTATTATTTTCATTAAATATGACACATGTCATCGTTTAAGATGAATATGAAGATATTTAATTTCTCAAAATATATTTATGAAATGATGGAAACAGAATGGAAACAAGTATAAAACGAAACTAATAAAGGGATTAGTAGGAAATTATGTGATCCAAAACAATTTAAGAATTATACAGACGGAAAGACTTTAATATATTAATATTTTGATAAATCCTAAAAGTCGATACACGTATGTTCGTCAAAAAATACGGCTTATATGATGCATGAGTTTCATAACAATTAAGTAACTCAAACATATAGTTGTCGTTAATAATACATTATTTATTTTATATTAGTATAATATTCTTTGTATGTGATCCTATATGTTCATCTCTCTCCCAGTCTTTCGCGTTCGCTTATGGACGTAGCTGATCATCCTGGATCGTGTGAATTATATTAAATATTATGTCTTATTTTTTGTTTTGCTTTATTACTCTGTTGTGTGGAATATGTGAATCGTTTATTGAAATGCTTAAAACCTAATAAGGATACAATTAGAGGACTCTGGTTTGTGTCTCTGATCTTCTTGAGAACAATTAAAGTTAACTCTTAACCCTCTTTTAGGATGATGATTGCTATTAATGGAAAGAATCATTATACACGGTTTAGTTGTTTAATCATACATGTTCTAGTTTAAATGGTTATGTTGTTTTGTATTTAATTATTTGTTTTGTTAAAAACACGAACAACACTTTAAGATTCTACAATATTTTTTAAACAAAGCTTTATGATGAAATCCATAGGCGTCGTTAGAACCATGTAAATGAAAGAGAATGTCAAGAATGTGCAACTTCCTTTCATTTTTAAGGACAAACCTTAAGTAATGTTACAAATCAATAAAGCGTCCACCATTTAGTTTTTCATCCTCTAACAATGAACATAGTGATTAACTAATTGTTTATGGATTTTGTTGACATCTACAAAATAAATAAAGTTCATTTTAGCAATTTCAACATCAATCATTTATAATTTAATTACTTTTGTGTTTGTAAAAAACATTATTTAATAAAGTCTAAGATCTAGATTAAAACTTGTTATTATATGCAGTTGATCATGCATAGTTGCGTACAATAATAAGCTAATTAAATAGATGAATATCATACCAATTCCACTAGAAATACAACTTTTAGATCTTTATGAACGTAACACAACTAATGTTCAACTAATATGTTTAGTCTCATCCTTGTCCCAAACTTAGGTCTGAGCAAGATATGTTAAGTTGTCCCATTTAAAATTGCAAACTCAAGTTTAGGTTTGACAATGACACAAAAATCACCTACAGATTATAATATAACTGACACTACTCGCACTACAAAAATTACAACGATATATTTCCTAAAACCTTATTTAACTAAAATATTAATCCAAAATGTTAAAACTAAATTTAAACAATTTCAAATTTACGAGTTTTAATTAATAAACGTTTTATTTTAAAAACTCAATATTTTTTTTCATTTAAGTTTTCAATAGAAAAATAACTTTTTGCATATAATCAATAACAATAATACATTAAAAAAAATAAAACTCATTTTCATTGCGAAACCAATCCTATGTTTGAGAAAGATAATCACACAACATATAAATAGTGAATTAAACCATTAAATGCTTTAATATAAGTTCTATTTAAAAAGATCGAGTTTTCGATTGTTGCCAAGAACCATCAAGAAGATCTATGCAAGCTTTGCCAAGAACCTTCAAATCATCAAGAAGATCTATGCAGGGAAAAAAACAAGAAATTCAAGAATGATAATTTAAAGTTTAAAAAGTTTATGATACAAACTATTGAAAATTTATGATTACTTCAAAGAGTTATAACTTTATAAGTAAACAAAATACGTAGCGAAAACAAAAAAAAATCTATAAAGTTTGAACAACCTTTAATAATCGACGATAACGATGATAACATTGATCAGTGGCGAGTCTAGAATACAAATACAAAAAAAAAATCTATAAAATTTGAACAACCTTTAATAATCGACGATAATGATGATAACATTGATTAGTGGCGATTCTAGAATACAAAATCATGTGATTCACTGTTAAAATGAATTTACTTGTTTAATGTTAACTTGCATTGACTATCTCTTATTAGGGGCGGATCCAAGGGGTATCCCGAGATACCCCTCAAAAAAAATTCGGTAGTGTAATTTTTTTAGAAAAAATTCATTTTATGTAGTGTATATATACGCATCTTTTCACTTATAAGCATAAACAAATAGCTAGTCTACCGGTTAAGATGCTGACTTATTGAAAAAAAGGTCTCAGGATCAATTCTCCCTCTTTACAAATCCTTTGTTTACATTTCTTTTATTTTTTCAGCTATTCTATTTTTTTTCCCAATGATTCAAGTATCAAAAGATACTTCAACTTCATGTTGATATAACAAGACCTGAAGTTAGCTAAGGATTCGATTAGAGTTTGAGTTTAATACCAAAACCAAACCGGGAAACCCAAGTACAAAATGAAAATCGAAACACCGAACCGAAGGGTTTGGGTTTGGTTCGGTTTTAAAAGTTTTAAAACCGAGGCTGTCGGTTTTGGGTTCGGTTTTAGGTCAAAAATGATCCGACCCGCCCCATACTCAGCTGTTGCGGTGATACCCTTTGCTTTGAGTCTGGCTCCGCCACCGTCTCTTATTGTATTATATCTTATGTAAATTAGGCATTTAGGATTTTGGGCTATTAAAATATAAAATAATATAAAATGCATGCTTTAGAAATATTGACTTTTATATACATTTTTTTTACCAAAAACATTAATGTAGGCCATCTCAAATATTTAAAGTATATCCTAAATTATATATCGCCAATAAACTTGTTAAAAGCTCCTACACCACCCCTTAAGTATCGCTTTGTGACTCGCTAGCTTTGGGTCGCTACACCCACAACAAGAGACTCTTCACCTTTTGACCATAAAAACCTTTTTTCTTTAAAATAAAACCTATTTGAAATCAAACACTACCACTCCCTATATTTTTTGTGCTACACATACTAAACCTATATGACATAAAAAGAACTAAAAAATCTTATGAAGTAATGTACTAACAGTATTACCATTCCCTCCAGCCACTATTAATAAATTTTATTATTTTAGGTGAGTCAAACGCTGACAATGATGATGAAGACGAAGATATATACACTTTGTTCAAAAGTTTTTGAACAATTTCATGGGGAATCTACTTGAGCAAATTGAAACATCAAGCGAGGATTCTCCCAAGTGATAAATCAAAACACAATTGCTTGCCTTGTTCAACTAAGAAACCGTATGTGTGTGACTTCTTCCAAATTTTAAATCATATTTCATAATCTGTTTCTCTATTTTTAGTAAATGATAAATACAGTTACTTACTTCATGTGTACATATGGATTCCATGGAGTCGCTTTCTTTCTTGTAACATGTATCGTGTGTCTTTCTTTTGCTTCCTTACAAATACATGATGCATATATTGCAAAAAAATAAAATAATAAATAAATAAATAAAAATCTGGTTTTTATGTTTTAAATTTTGATTTTTGCATAGAAATCGAATAATTATTTTCGTAGCTTTAAATTGTGAATCCTATATCAGAAATTCTTTTTGTTCATCTTATATATATTTTCTTTATTTCGAATTTTGGATCAAACTAATATCTTAAGGATTGTTTCCTTTTCTAGTTTCTCTAAAAAGTTAATTTTTTCTTTACATACTTTTTGTCCCCAAATGGTACTTTTGGAAGTTTGATGTCGGACTTTTAAAGGTTTTGAAATGCAAACTTTTGTTACATTTTCGTGAAATAATGACTTTTGAGTCAAAAAAACTTGATTTTTTTCTCATTTTCAGTGAAACATAACTAATTGTCTTAAAAAAAAAATCCAGTTTCATATTTTTATTCTTTTCCTCTTTTTTTCAGAATGTAACCATCCTTTTATTGTCAATCACTTCCCAATGTACACAAAATAAGCACTAGACATATTTTCTATTTTGCTTAATAAGTTATTAACTTCTTTTGGTTTTGATCATTATTCTATTATAATGGCAATCTTATTGAATTTGTGGTTTATTTTACAATATTTTCTTGGTTAAAAATATGCCATTGAATATTGTATATTATTAATGCATAAAAACTTCATGATTTTATCTATCAGTTTTACAATACGTTTATATAAATTTTTTGGTTTTTTATTTTATTAACCTTGCTAATGTATGTTTTCATTGAACCATTACATTTTGATTATCCTGAATGAAACGATAGGTATTGTTTAATCATTTATTACTATGAAAGTAAATAAATGGATTTATTTTTATTATCTATATATTAAATTTAATCAGACAACGTGGATTATTTTGAATATTTTCTAAACCAAATGGCATAATAAACAAATGAATTGGCCAACCATAAGTGGCAACCACATTTAAAATATATGTATTTATATCTACAAAATTTATTTAATTGAAAAGATATGAATAATAATATTATTAATAATATTTTGTCATTATATTAAATTTTGCAAATATCATCAAGAATTCGGGGAAAGGAGTTATCCCATTATTACCCTTTTCTTTCTTTCTTTCTTCCTTCTTTTTTCTTTTTCAAGTATCTTCTGTCCTTTCTCAAGTATCTTATTCTATCGAACAAAGTTACACAGCAGACTGTCTCCTAGTCACTAACAACTTTTCTGCAACAAAATTTTCACATCCATGGCTGCTTCTCTGTAAATCCTCACATTACTCACTAACAAATCTTCGTTTTTTCAACACGTACACCTTACAAGATCCGTAAACGATTCAAATTACGAAGAAAGAGTATGAAAATTTTGGTGGGTTTTCTGTTTAATTTGATTTTGAATCTTCAAATTACCACCATTGATGCCAGACCCACCAGGTTAATATTACTTTCTGATATCTCTGTTCATGAATCTTCACCTGCTGCTGCTCCCATCTCTTCAATGGCGGATATCCCTCCCGGTACTCTCTCTCTTATCCATTTTTATTTTGTATGTGATTCCACTGAGCTTTGTTTTATAGGGTTACTAACAATTTACTTCGAAATTTGAAAATTTTTAAATCTTTAGCAAAGATTATGTTGCTAAGTTCGACAAAATTTATCAGGAACTCATACGGATATCCAAATCCACCAAAATTCAAACAAAAAGCTTGTTATAGGACTCGTTTCTGCATCTTCTCTGATAGGAATCGTCTTATTGCCCTTAACCTGTTTGTGGATATGCCGCAGAAAGAAACTATACAAATCAACCAATATCAACACCAGAAGATTAGGTAACATGATTATTTCCAATCGATTTCTAGCTTTCCTGCTACATTTCCACAAATTCTCAGCAAATTTCCATGATTTCCCATGTAGATTCTTTAAAAGGGCTTCCATTGACTTCATTCATCGGTAGAACAAATACCCACTTTCAACACCCAAAAGACATCCGTGACTACGATGGATTACAACATATTACAATCAGCAACAAAGAATTTTCAAGAAAGTGAAATTATAGGTGAAGGAGGATTCGGATGCGTCTATAAAGCTCAACTCAATGATAACTTATTAGTTGCTATCAAGAAACTCGACAACAAAACTCAAAACTCCATCAAAGAATTCCAGGTTTTTTTCAATACCCATTAAAGATCTTCAATTTCATGATGTTAAAGATTCTTTTTTTCAGAATTTGTGATCTGGGTTTTGCAGACAGAAATCGATATATTGAGTAAAATTCAACATCCAAACATAATTACTTTATTGGGATATTGTGTTCATGATGAAACAAAGCTACTTGTTTATGAATTGATGCAAAATGGTTCTTTAGAATCCCAATTACATGGTGAGTGACTTTTTGATCTTTTTCAATCATATATCTTACCTAATACACATTAAAGTTTGTATCTTTTTTGTACCAAAAATTTAATGCAAAAATATGGTTATAACTTATAGGGCCTTCTTGTGGATCCAATTTAACATGGCATTGCCGGATGAAAATTGCCCTAGATATAGCAAGGTGAGCTTTTAATGTCTTAATATTAATGACATCATTATTATTTTTTTCTAACTTATTTTCGGGTTGTTTTTTATTTTTTTGTTAGAGGTTTGGAATATTTACATGAACGTTGCAAACCATCGGTGATTCATAGAGATCTTAAATCATCAAATATACTTTTGGATTCAAGCTTCAATGCCAAGGTACTAGTAATTGAATTTAATGTGTGTATATGTATATATAAAGTTTAAAAAAAATATATTTTTTATTTTATAATAATCGTTGGTTATTTTGTTGTAAAGCTTTCGGATTTTGGTCTTGCGGTTATGGAAGGAGCTAATAGCAAAAACATTAAGCTTTCGGGGACATTGGGTTATGTGGCTCCCGAATATCTTTTAGATGGTATGATTAATTAAATATGATTACAAAATTTATATTGTCATCGAAATAATAATACATTTCTTGAATAAATTGATGGGAAAATTATAATATTTTGAGCGACTAATACTTTATTTTTTCCAATCAAACGATAACAGTTTCATACATTTTCCAATTTAACCATTTTGACCTGATATCACATGGTCAGAATTATTATTTTGGAAAATTACAGCCGAAACCTGACATAACGTGACATGACATGACACGTCAAAATGGTTAATTTGGAAAAATATTTTATGGTTTGATAACTTGATTGGGAAAAAATGTAGTATAAGTGGTTAAACTACAAAACTGTCTAAAATATAAAGGTTTATTTGTAATTTAGCGTAATTTGATTTATAAGATTATAAGTAGTTGAGTATACTTTTTGACCATTTTAACATGCTTCATTTTAATCAAAATTTTAAAATTTTACAAGGGAAATTGACGGATAAAAGTGACGTTTATGCATATGGAGTTGTACTTTTGGAGCTTCTACTTGGAAGAAGACATCTTGAAAAATTAACATCATCAAAGTGCGAATCTATTGTCACTTGGGTTAGTTTTTTTTTTCTTTTAATTTTTTTTTTGTGAATTTGACTTTATTTTTATTGTTATGAAATGGTTTGGTGAATTTGTAGGCTATGCCACAACTAATGGACAGATCAAAGCTTCCAAGTGTGATAGATCCAGTGATTAGAGATAAAATGGATCTTAAACACCTTTATCAAGTAAGTAATTACCATGTATGGCACAACTCTTTTTTTTCTAGAGTACAAGTCATTAATGCATGACGATTAACTAAAAAAAATGGAAATATGATGGTGTGTAGGTGGCTGCGGTGGCGGTGTTGTGTGTTCAATCGGAACCGAGTTACCGTCCGTTGATAACGGATGTTTTACATTCTTTGGTTCCTCTTGTCCCTATGGAACTTGGAGGGACACTGAGAGTTACTGAAAGCAGGGTTGTAACATGATACTGTTACAATCCTGTTTTCTTTTCTTACCTAGTGAAGAAGAAATAGATTTAAAAAATGTTTTTTTTTCTTAGTTCATACTTGTGTTCTTGTAATTATATCCGTTGTGTTATTTTTTTGGGAAATTTTGAGCACTAATTGTAGACGTGGGACAAGAATATGAAGACAAAACAATTTGATTAATTAATTGACAAACAATAAAATTATTAATTTTTGCTAGCAATCGACGTGTGATGCAACAGGATATGTAAGGTGTATATTACTATATATGATGATATAATATAATGGTATGACATTTGATGGGGTCCATATTATTATAAAAAAATATTATAAAAAGTAGTTAGGAAAAATGGTTGATCAAATAGTATCATGTTGTATGTCACAAAAGATGTCAATCCAACCTACTTTGATATAAATATCATAAATTAGTAACAAAGATAATGAAAAAAAAGCTCAAAAGGTTAAGAAAACACAAGTGTCAAATGAGCTAATGACAAATACAACTAAATGGTGTATACATATTACTATGGACTTCAAAAATGGTAATCACATTTCAATATTTTGAAATTGGTATTTATTGGATTAATATTAATATACTACTTTAATTCTACATTTAAGCCAATATTAAAAACTAATATGCATGAATTTGAACAAATCAACTTCATCAGAAACTAACGACTATGTTTGACGTGCATAAATTAGTTTACTAGTTATAACACTCATATACTATATGAGTTTATTAAAAAAAATGAAGATCTAAAATTTAGAAAGTTTGAATTTATAAGGAAAGAAAGCAAAAATATTTAGCTCTTAAAATTGAAATGCTTATTTCTCTTTTAAATTTAAATAAATAAACAATTAAAATAATTAAATTCAATTTAAAATTTTAAAAATTACAAGAAAAGTTGCATTAATGAATTTAATATGCATTTATTATTATATTTATAATATTTATATATTATATGGAATAAAAAAAATCCACAAATTGACATTGATATAATTTAATCTAAACTTACATCAATAAAATGACATATGTCATAATGTAAAAAGGAATAACTAGAAATTGTTTTTATTTATTAGAATATACTTTTAAGTTTATTACAAATAATATTTAATGAGACCGGTAAAGTTATTTACAGGCTACCTTTTTAAAAAAATTATCTGATATAGCTTATTGCTAAGCTTATGAGGTATTTCCACAAAATTTTACACATATACCCTTATAATCTTATATATCAAAATATCATTTTATATAATCTTACATTAATCATCTTGTTTATCAGCTAGTTTTTACCAAATACAATTAATATATCAACTACTAGCTAGTTTTTTTACCAAATACATTTAATATATCAACTACTAGCCAGCTTGTTATGCAAAAGCTACAATTACTATATCAACTACTAGTTAGCTTGTTATGCAAAAGCTAGTTTGCAAAACACAGTTTATCAACTACCAACTAGTTCATCAGACAAAAGCTAGTTTTTCAGCTAGTATGACAAACACAGTCAAAGATGTTGTCATTGAAAATGTTCGATAAGGTCCAACACATGCCTTCCCTAACCCCAAGGGAAGAAACATGACTTGCATATATAACTTCAAAACGTCTTCTCACAATACAAAGTCAAAACATTATTACAACATTTCTGCAAAATTACAAAAACAACCCTCACCTCCCTCTAATTATTAATAAATGCTCCCAAGCTTTATACTCACCATTTTCTAACTCACATTATGATACGAATCAATAATAGCATCCGCAAGATACTCACACTTTGCAGCAGATAAACCAGCCAATGATATTCTTCCATCTTTCGTCATATAAATATGCCATTTATCCGTCATATTATCACTCTACAAAACAAAACAAAAATCAAATAATAAGTCAAAATATATATAAAAAAAAAGTGTAGTAGTAGTACTTAACACATTGGTAGTTGTACTATTACATTACCTGTGCTTTATTAAGACCAGTAAAAGAAAACATCCCAATTTGCTTAAGAACAAACGACCAATCTTTTCCAGTTTTGTCCTTCGAAGAGAGATTATTGTATAGCTTTTGTCTCACACTCTTAATCCTTCCAGCCATCATTTCCATTTCATCTTTCCATTCGTTGAAAAAATCAGGATTTCCAACAACATTCGCCACAATGCGGGCCCCATGTACAGGTGGATTTGAGTACATTGGCCTCGCGATTCTCTTCATCTGGCTCTTCACCCTAAACAAAATTATTTATGACTCGGGTCAGATTCAGACAGTTTGATATCATAATTAGAAGCCTCTGATTCAGTCAAATAAGAGGTGGGGTCTGATTGATCAGGCCTTGACTCAATCAATCAGATCTGACTCAATCAACAACTATCAAACAACCCCTAAGTATTACTATAGAACTGCAAATATATTATGGGTAAAAAATAAAGTATATTGTCTATATTGATAAAAGGTGTATATTACGTTGATATTTTGTGCATTTTGGCCTTTTATTTAATGAGTTAAATACCTTATAGCTGCATCGGGTGATGAGCAAAGGACATTTATAGCCCCAACTCTTTCGGCATAAAGACCGAGATTTTTACTGTATGATTGTGCAACTAAAAGCTCCATTCCACGAGCTGCAAATAATCGCACAGAAGAAGCGTCTTCATCAAGGCTTCCACTAGCGAATCCCTGTAAAAAATTAAAATTAAGGGTCTGTTTGGTATGATGGAATGGAATCTTAAAGGAATGGAATTGATCATGTTTGGTTGGCTTGAAGAAATGAAATTTAGACATTCAAACATATTGTTTGTTATGACTTTTAAAGATTCAAACCTGATAAGCAACATCGAAAAATGGAAAATGGTTTTTTTCTTGAATGACATCAGCAATTTTCTCCCATTGTTGAGGAGTTGGATCGATGCCTGTTGGGTTGTGAGCACAGCCATGAAGAAGCACAAAAGACCCTTCCGGAGCTGCCTGAATTTATAAATTTAATTTTTTTTTATTTAAGTTCCAAAGTAAACATTTATTATACGTTAGTAGATAGAGTAGTTGAAACTTGAAATGACCTTTATGTCCTCAATCATTCCATCAAAATCTAGACCAACTGTTTTTGGATCGTAGTATCGGTACTCTGACCATGGGACCCGAGCATCGTTGAAAATATTCTTGTGATTACCTGAAAGTTAATTTTTTTTACACAAATGAATAAATAATAATGTAGTTAGAAAAGATTTAAATTTATAAAATTTAGAATTTTCACCCCAAGTTGGAGATGATATTAGAATTTTTGCTCCGGGAAAGTATCGCTCAATTAATGCTGCAGCAATTCTAAGAGAGCCAGTGCCTGAGAGACCTTGTATAGTGGCAACCTGCATTTTATATTATATAAACAAAAGTTATATTTTAACATGAACCTTAAACTATTTTATTTTAAAAAGAAAAAAAAAAAAAAAAAAAAGAGATGCTAAATCATACTCTTTGTTCATGAAGAACTGGATTATCTGCTCCAAACAACAACTCAGCTGTTGCTTTGTTGAATGCAGCCAATCCTTCAATAGGAAGATACTGCATGTAATAAATCAAAAGAAATAAAAATGTTAAAAAGAAAACACAAAATTCCAATTGCTAAATTTGTTTTAGACTTTAAAAAGTCGTAAAGTACCTCCTTGTTTTCTCCCCTTTCCAGCATAAGATTCTCAGCCTACAACACAATTACACATTTAAAACATTCCCAAAAAGAAAAAAATAATTACATGTGAATAGATGAGAGACTATGTGATTGTCATAATTTATCATATATTGCCTTTCTTCTCTTATTTTAGAGTGTAAAAAAGTGTTAGTCAAAAACTTTGGATAATGTAGGTGTAATTTGGGGGTGGCTTAACTCTTAAAAGACTATGTGAGTGTCATAATTTATCATATCATATATTACCTTTCTAACAACTTTAAGAACATAGGGTTGAAGTTCTTCTGTACGATATGCTCCAACACCAAGATTAAGTTTCAACTCATTTGTGTCAGCTTTGAATGCTTCAGAAACTCCAAGAATTGGATCTGGGGGAGCCATTGTTATGCTATCAAAGCGTGAAGCTTTAACGGCAACAGCCATTGTAATACGCCCATGAGACTGCAAACAAGATATACAGATAAATATAGATATCAGACAAATATATAACCATGAGAGATAAATATACAACTATATACCTTTGTTTTCATGGAGAGAGGTTGTTTGTCTTTCCCAAAGAAAGCACTTTTGAAAGCATTTCCAGACTTCATTTTGTCCTAATCAAACAATAAAATGGTCTTTTATTGTATTTTTATCAAGTTTTTGATACCCTGAGAGAAAAAAAAAAAGAACCAATCAACAATACCTTGCATTTGTCTTGCACAGACTGGGCAGCTGATGGAGAAACTGATGGGAGGGAAAGGAATGTTGAAGCCATCTGAAATAAATAGATTGTTTTAGAGTGTAAAAAGTGTTAGTCAAAACTTTGGAGAGTATGGGTGTAATTTGGGGGTGGCTTGAGAGACTATGCGATTGTCACAATTTATCATATTGTAGATTTTTCTCTCTAGAGGCCTGTGGTTTTTTGCTGCTTTTGGAGTAGTTTTTCATGTATATTCTCGTGTTCAATTTTTTCTATTTATTTTCATTATCTTTCAAACCAATTTCAGTTTAAAACGTAGAAGCAAAATTTGCATCATGTCAAACCATCAAACTGACATAATTTCAGATCAAGTGATGCAAACACAAACATATATATAGATATGGAAGAAGAATGTTAAACACAATTAGTTCTTATAATCACAACCATCACTGAGATGCTACACTGTAGTGCTGTAGAACTAACGACGCATCGGATGCTTGTACCTTACAACTACCGATGCATGTTCCAGATACAATCTCACTATTAACAATGAAAGACACAAAATTGAATACTATAACCAAAGTTATCAGCTCAAAATACGGGAAGCTATAATCTAAATCGAATAAACCAAAGCATGAAGATAGCGATCTCTTGTACACTATTTAGTTCGAATCGATTTATAGAGTTAGAGGATGACATTAAATCAGAAGAAAAATGAAGGAATAATCATGATCGGGAATTAGTTAAATCGAACAAGAATGTGCAAACCCTTGGGAATTGGATAAACCACAGAAGAATCAGAATCACTGACACATTAACAAGTAAGCGATACATACAAAACACATATATATGCATAAGAGGGAGAGCTTGCCTGATTGCTTTTGAGAGAGTGAGTGATTCGACTATGGCGAAGATGAAGAAGAGTGGGTGAGCGATGCAATCGAGAGACACAACTCTGAACTAGTTTGTAATTGTATCTCCTTCATTTACCTACTTATGTGATATAGCTTCAAGATATCGGCTCATTAGTGATTTTCTTTTTAAAGAATTAAAAGAATATTAAATACTTAATGTTTTCTTTTATCATTTTAATAAAATACTATATAGTATTTGCAAATAAAAAAGTAATATAAATATTTTAGTGTTAACAAACTATTTAAAACAAATCAAGATTAAAGATGTATACATTTTAATAAAATATAGTATTTGTCATATAAAAAAAATAATATAGATACTTTAGTGTTAACAAACTATTTAAAACAAATTAAAATTAAAGATGTACACATTTTAATAAAATATAGATCACAATTTAAATAGTGTGGATTTAACGAGGAGATATTTTTTTTATTTCGTGGGCTTGAAGACTAGCGGTACATTGTCCGTTTGTATTGTATAAAAATGTTTATAATATTAAATTCAATACAAAAATTTAACTAATTTTACATACGTATTTGAAATGTAAAATTGATTTTGACAAAATACATATTTAATTTGTAATATAAAACCTACTAAAATAATTGGAAAGCCAACGAGTGCTAAGTGTTGGCTACACGTAATGGTGGAGGGACATCCTAGGTTTTTTTTTGTTTTCATTAATTTTGTTGTAACTAATTTGCAAACTATCTCCATGTTATAATAAAATACTAGTTGTGAAATTCATGTATTACATGATTTAATTTAATATATATATATATATATATATATATATATATATATAAATAAAGGTCAAAATATTTAAGAATTTTGAATTTATAAGAAAATAAGAAAAATAATGATTTATTATAATGAAAATATTTTTTATCTTTTAAATTAAAAAAAATAATTTAAATAAAGAAAAAAAACTAATAAGTTTTAATTTTAGGAATTTTGAAATTAAAAGATAAGTTTATTAGTGGAATTAATATTCATTTATTGCAATTATTACATTAAAATATTATGTGGAATTTAATAAAATAGAAAAAACTCATGAAATTATATGTGGAAAAAAAATTAATTCAAAATAACCACAAAATGAGATTTGACAAATTGAATGAGAATGTAACAAATGGTAAGGAGATCCATGTTATAATAAAATACTAGTTGTGAAATTCATGTATTATATGAGTTAATTTTAATATATATATATATATATATATATATATATATCTATATATATATATATAGATAAAGGTTAAAATATTTGAGAATTTTGCATTTATAAGAACCTCCGAAACATAATGATTTATTATAATGGAAAATTTTTTATCTTTTAAATTTCAAAACCTAATTTAAATAAAGAAAAAAAACTCCTGAGTTTTAATTTTGGGCCTTTGGAATTAAGATAGACAAAATTGCAAGAATGGTCCATGTGGTATGTTCAAAATTGCTACTTTGGGCCAAACAAGTTTGGACTAGCATCAATAGTCCACAAGTTTTCATTTTGCTGCGTTTTTGGTCCAAAACAGTTTAAAAAATCTAAAAATGACGGATTTGCCCTTTTCCATTTGTTTTTTGCATTTCTTTTTGTTATTTAATTATTTTTTAACTGAAAAAATAAAAATAAATAAAATAAAATAAAATATCTCTCTCTCTCTCTCTCTCGTTTCTTGCTTACCACCAGCCAAATCAACACAAACATCTATCCATTTTTCAACAGATTCTACACAAACACACATAGATTAAAACACACATAAAGATTTAACACACACACAGATTAAAACACACAGATTTAACACTTACACATACTTAACACCCACAAATCAAAACCCAAAATCGATTCAAAGATCTGAAGTGGAATGTCACCTAACTTGCCGGATCTGAAATGGTGGTGTATGTCGATTGTGGTGCCAGAAACCACAAGTTGTTGTCGGTTGGTGGTGCCGAAGGAGAGAGATACACTTCGTCTCCGACCTGTGGGAGAGAAACCACAAACCTGAACCTAGTGTCGTCGTCGGAGTATGAGTGAAACGAAGAGACACAGACGGAAAACGGAAAACGAACCTATGAGAGGGAGAGAGACACGAAAAGCGACGCTAGGGTTTGCTATGACAGACGGCGGCGTTAGGGTTTGCTATAACATCCAGATCTGACGACTGAGAAGAGGTGTTTTCGGCGAAGAAGAAGAGGATGGCAGCAAAACCCTAACTAGTCGTCGGATCTGAGGGATACGAGACTCGTCGGAGAAGGAACCAGATGAAGATGGTGAAGGAGATGAAGTCGTTTCAGACGAAGACGTTTATGGCTCGAGTTTGCAGACGAAGTCGATAACCTTAGCGGTGGTGGTGTTGTTTATATTCGCCGAAAATGCGAGGGTTTTTAAAGGATTTTCCGGTGGTGGTGGTGTTGTTTATATTCGTCGGAAAAACGAGGGCGTTCATATACGAGAGAGAGAGAGAGAGAGAGATAAATATTTATTTTATTTATTTTTATTTTTTTAGTTTGAAAATAATTAAATAACAAAAAGAAAAGCAAAAAACAAATGGAAAAGGGCAAATCTGTCATTTTTAGATTTTTTAAACTGTTTTGGACCAAAACCGCAGCAAAATGAAAACTTTTGGACTATTGATGCTAGTCCAAACCTGTTTGGCCCAAAGTAGCAATTTTGGACATATCACAGGGACCATTCTTGCAATTTTGTCTAAAAGATAAGTTTATTAGTGGAATTAATATTCATTTATTGTAATTATTACATTAAAATATTATGTGGAATTTAATAAAATAGAAAAAACTCATGAAATGATATGTGGAAAAAAAATTAATTCAAAATAACCACAAAATGACATTTGACAAATTGAATGAGAATGTAACAAATGGCAAAAAAACTTTCATTTATTATCGAGGATAAACAATATTTGTTAAAGAAGGAAAATAATAATAATAATAATAATAATAATAATTTTGTTTTCTAAATTTAGCTAAACTATAAAAGATTGTTCAATCAATAATCATATATTTTGTAAGGGAATCCTATGAGATTTTTATGTGTAATGTCAAAACAATGTCGTTTTTGGTATTTTGCGGTGCCCATAGGCAAACAGGGTGTTTGCGAAATCTACCGTAACTGATGGGACGTGATCCCCCATATTTGAACCATTTTCTTGTGGGAGTTCATTTTTTATTTTATAACACTGAAGATCGGTCTCAACCAGTGTTGCAAAACTCGGTCTACTCGGCCGAGTACTCGGAATCGGCCGTCCAACGAGGCGAGTTATGTGAACCCGTCATAAAAAATCGGATTAAGTCAAAATCGGTCAACCTCGGTCAACATCTCTCTAACTCGGGCCTACTCAGTAGTACCCGGTCTTTACTCGGGCAAACTCGGCCAACTCAGTCAAACTCGATCAAATGGTCAAAATTGTTATAAAAAGAGAAAAAATCAAGAATTTCAAGATTAATATGTATAATACACTTAATGATTTATTATTTAACACACACATGTGATTATTACTACATATATATCTTAAATTTTCAATAATTATTTACGAATTGAGACAATTATGTTTATTTCAGTTTTTATGTATTCACATATATCTAATTTTTGTTATATATTTCAATCAAATTATGATTTTAACTTATGATTTTGACATATATAATTTCCTAAAAATATTTCTACATGAATTACCGAATCCACGTACTCACCAAGTACTTCCGAGTACTCGCTACTCGGCAGTCGGCCGAGCAAGTACCGATCAACTCGTGATAACAAGATAGAAAAATAGACATATTTGAATAAGTTTTTCTATATGAATAATTTTGATCCACATACATGTAGTTTGTTTTATAAATTTGTTTGTGATTTTTAATTGTTTTATAAATTTGTTTGTGATTTTTAATATTTAAATATTACACATGAGATGAATTCTTTGAAGGCTCCGAATGTACTTGCCGTGCGACATGTGTTCTTGCCAATTTTTAGTTAGTTTTGCGCAAATTCTTATACATATAAACTAGCATAAAATATAACATTTTGGCTCATCTTAAGTTTACTTTTTTTTTTTTTTTTTTTTTTTTTTTTTTTTTTTTTTTTTTGCAAATAGCCATTTTACAAGGGTGAACGTTTCGCACTTTTCCCCTGCCAAATGATCTTGCCCCCTTACGAATTGTATATTTGTTAGATAGGTCCACTGCAAATTGTTACTTGTTACTTTTCTACCACTATGTTAGTTTTCTTTTAATATTGTTATTTTTATTGAAGCGTAATAACAAGAGGTTACGAGGAGATTTGAAAAAAAGACTCAAACAAATTGTCCCATTGCTTGCTCGAAAGATTATCATAGACATGTCGATCACTGTTTTAAAAAGACGTGCTTTAAATATTAACTTGGCTACAATGGACGTACGACTATACATGCAATATGATATTGGGTAAAGATCAATGTAGCAAAGTTGCTATATGGTCTTAGGCCAGTCGACTAGAGAGAAGCGAGTACTGAGTACTCGGCCTAGCCGGGTAGTATTCACGGAATATTTGGATTGGGTAATTATAAATGAATTAATTTTTAAGGTATTTTATGTATAACAAATACTATAAGTTCATTAAAATTTAGAATAATATAGATGAATCTCAATAAGAAAAATACATATTCAAGTGCAAAACTTTAAAATTTTGTATCCATTCTTTAATATTACAATAATCTTCTAATTTTTAGTTTTCCTTTGTTTTTGTCATTTTCCATTAAATTGAACAAATTAAAAATAAACAACAAAAAGTTTAATAAATAACTAAATATATGATATATGCTAAATTAATTACTTAACAATTATAGTTGTTTGTTTAAAAAAGTTAAAATTTCCAAGTTTGATTGATTTGACCGAGTTCGCCGATTTTGGACAAATTTTCTTTGAGTTTGAACGAATCCTATTTCATAACTGATTTTCTGAAAAGCACCCCAGTGCAGGGGCGGAACACAGACATTTGAACTACGGGGGCCGAAACAAACATGATTGAAAACGGGTTTTACAATGTGGTTAAAATGGGTAATATAACCCGATTTTGCAACAATGTATTATAGATATTCGGATTGAATATATGATTTAGCTACTTAGATTAAAGAATCAATAAGGGATGTAGCCAAATTAAAGGTGATTAATTGGTCCAGCATATTTGCGGATTTAAATATTTCCTTCAAATGAACTTATACCAACACCTAATACAAGTAAAATGATTAAAATTGTAGCATACAATAATCTTTTAAATAATTCAAAATTAACTAATAATTGATAAATATAAAAAGTTAACATGTAACATATACATCTATAACAAACAAAACTCATTTAATTTCTACTTAACGTATGTATGTTATTAACATTCTTATTCGTTGTGTAAAAAATAGGCATCTAGGATTTGGCAAAACAATAAAGATTAAATAAATATAAAAAGATATTGCAAGCTTTTACAGTTTAATGTCACCGTTCACTACCTATGCCCTACCCCTTTTATATTTTTTGAGTAAATTACATGAATGGTCCCTATGATTTGGGATAATCTACATGTTTGGTCCCTAACTTATTTTTGTAACTCGGAAGGTCCCTACAGTTTGTTTTTGTTGCGCATTTGGTCTCTGTCTTACCTAAAAATACTATTTTGTCCTTGATTTTTTAATTTATTTAAATAAACATACCCCAACCTCACCCCCATCTCACATTATCCTACCTAAAAAGACTATTTTAATTTATTCCCATAAAATCCTATATTTTCTGTTGTAATATGTTGTACTCTAAACATGTAATTGTTATTGTACTCTGAAATGGTATATCTTAGTTTTAATTTCACATAAAACCATGAAAAGTGTGTTTTCTCTGCACTAGAATAGCATTTTATGTTTGTACTCGTATGAACATAGTATATTTGTAATTATCTGGATTTACCAGCTGTACTTGTAAAATATTGTATTATAGTTTTATTATTTAATAAAACTATGTGAAGTTATTTACTAATTCATACACTAATCGTATAGTTCAATACCAAATTGTGAGTTATCATAACATACTTGACAAGGTTGTAGAACTCGCTACTCGGTACCTGCTCGGCCGACTGGGGAGTAGCGAGTACTCGGGAGTACTCGGGGAGTACTCGGATTCGGTAATTCATGTAGAAATCTTTTTAGGAAAATTATATATGTCAAAATTATAAGTTAAAATCATAATTTGATTGAAATATATAACAAAATTAGATACATGTGAATACATAAAAACTGAAATACACACAAATGTCTCACTTCATAAATAATTACTGAAAATTTAAGATATATATGTAGTATAATCACATGGTATGTTAAATTAATAAATCATTAAGTGTATTATACATATTAATCTTGAAATTCTTGATTTTTTTCTCTTATTATGACAATTTTGACCCTTTGACCGAGTTTGACCGATTTTAACCGAGTTGGCCGAGTTTGACCGAGTAGGCCCGAGTAAGACCGAGTAATACCGAGTATGCCCGAGTTAGAGAGATGTTGACCGCTTTTTGACCGACTTTGACTTAATTCGAGTTTTTTTGCCGAGTTCACATTACACGCCTCGGTGGAGGGCCGATTCCGAGTAATCGGCCGAGTACTCGGCCGAGTAGGCCGAGTTTTTTTTGCCGAGTTCACTTTCGCATACGAGCTACGTTTTCGGCGTTCTTTATATCCACGC